GGGCCTGAAGCAGCACACCTGCCAGCCAGGTGAGACGCTGCTCCAGTGGGCTGGGGGGGCTGGAGAGCAAGTCGGGATCAGATTGCATCGCTCTGAACAGTGACAAGAAACCCTTGTACCATGTTCTGAATTCCTGGCCATGTTGCCTTAAGTGCTCCCTAGAAGGAGCCACATCCATGTGTTTATGTTCATTTTTCAACCCTTGGGGAAAAAAAAAAACCTACTAAGTAGGAATTTTGCTGCAAGAAGCTACGATAAACTTGCTCCCTTGAAAGAGAAGGGGAGAAATAAACCCTGTGTTCTTCCTTTTAGCCTCTGAAATGCATCATCAAGCATCCCAACGGGAGCCAGGAAACAATCATGCTGAACCACACCTTCAACGAGTCCCAGATCGAGTGGTTTCAGGCTGGCAGTGCCCTCAACAGAATGAAGGAGCTGCAGCAGAAGGCAAGCTAAGTGCGCGCCACGCCCCCGGTGCGCTGGACTCGGTTCCGCTTCGGCATTTTCATCAAAGTGCAATTCCATGCCCGCCGTTGGAATAAATGTCTGATCAAATGTAACCATAGCTTCCTTTTTGTTATGGTACTTCCTCTTCACTGATGCTATGAGAAGGGAGTGCGGCTAGGCTTACTTTTGTCTCCTCCATTCCCCCAGCTCCCTTTTTCTATTTTGGCTCAATTTTGGTTGTCCCACAGTTATTTATATTTGGAAATAACCAGCTACGGTGGGGTTGTCTGCTGGGTTGGTTGTTTCTGCCCCTTCACTTTACTGACGGCTAAAGAAGTACAATGGAAATAAAGAATGTGACCGTTTATTCTGCCTTGTGTTGTTCTATTCATAATCCCGCTCCTGGGAGGGTGGGAAAGGATTTCTTGGGAGACGCAAGATGGTACCTGCCCACCCCTTGCTCTGTGAAGTCGCTGCTGTGCACAATGACGTGGAAAAGGGCCCTCACGGCTGTCTTGAGCAGATGGGCCGCAGTTACTGTGCCATCCTAGAGAACTCCAGGCTCCCTTTCCAGCAGGGCAGCGCACCAGGAATAAGAGTTCAGAATTCAGGGGCTCTAACGACGCTGCAGGGAGGGCGCTGGTGACTCGGTCTTTGTTTTTGCTGTCGGAGGTTAAGCAGAGCCGCTCTCCCAGGGAATTGCAGCCCCTTCCTGCCAAACGCACCCAGCTTTGTAATTACGTGCAGCATCACCCTCTTGGCAACGGGCCCTGCATAGATTTTACTCCCTGTTTTGTTCCCCTTTTTCCCCGCTGTCAGAGAGGGTGATGGCAATTGTTTGCTATTGGCCGTTAGAGAGAGCGGAGCAGAGTGTTGGGCTCAACGCTGCCTGCCTTGAAATCCAAGTAGCTAAACCACAGGAGGCAACTTTCTTTTTCCTGCTAAGCGGGAAGCTAATAGTTTCCCCCCAAAACAGTACAGGAAGACAGGCTGCATGGTTTTTACTATTTATTACAGTTCTGGTCTGAACACACCCCCACAGGCAAGTACTGAGCTTGCTCAAAGCAGCCTTGGGCCACTGCAGGTGGGAGCTAGGTGTTTCCAGTCAAACCCCTGCCAAGCGCGGCTCCTCGCACAGAAATACAGCCCCCCGCCCCGGCAAGCGCTTCCACCCAGCACAGCAGGCAGCCCGCAGCTTTCCGCAGCGGTCGCCTCCAGGCAGCCCGGGTTACTACATCAGGCCAGTTCTTTGTGGCCGACTCCAACCACGGGTTAAGTTCCCATTCCCAGCAGATGAATGGGAACCTCCCACCTCCCCTGCCCTGCCAGCAGCAGGATTTTCCAGCTCTCCAGAGTACCACAGGTCCATTAAATCTGGCCTTTTGCTCTTTCTCCTCCATTTCCTGCCAAAAGCAGGGCAGGTTTCTACCCCTCGGGGATCAGGCGCTCAGCCCCCAGAAGCAATACTCCCTGACAGGCGTTCTCGCCTGCTTTCACTCGCTGAAGTCAGCTCCCTTCTTAATTCAGGCGAGGAAAGACCTCCCCGGTTTCCCCTCCCGGGCAGGAGACCAAAGCTCCAGCTGAGCCCGCTGCCGCGGCACTCACAGCTCTTTGTGCCTGTAAATGCCCTCGGACAGATCGGGGAAGGCGTTTCTTGAAAGCGACTGTCTCTCTCCGGCAGGCTGGAAGCTGAAGGGGAAACGGAGACTGGCAGCTCTAATTTCTCCTTCAGCTTCGGAGGAGCGGTGAGCACCGGCAGGATCCCATAAATCCCCCCAAACGCCCACCAGGAAGACTTTCTGTGGAGCGGGCTCGGATTGTGGCTAACTGTTTGTCCACCACGACAGGAGGCCCAGGCCCGGCTCGCTGATTGATCCCTGTTCACGGAGAGAAGAGAGTGTGCAATTGGTGAACTGCTGAGAGAACACAGGAGTAAATTCCTTAAAAATACAAAAATCTCTCCTGCCCTGGGTTATGGATGAGGTAGCCACTTCTTTTTCCCCTATCCAAACTTGCCCAGACACCTTCAATCCTTGTCAACACTGCACCAAACCTTCAACGCTTGAAAAACCAAGTGCTCGCCCGTTCCACCTCCCGACTGTCCCAAGGCATTCCCGCTGCCAGACAGCACGGCTTCCGTCGGCTTAGATCCCCCTGCCTCTTGCCCGGTAGTCGGGCGGGCCTCACGCCACAGCGCGGCGTGGGAAAGGCTGTTCAGCCCCCCTGTAAACCTCGAGGTGGTTCTCCCGGCTCCGTACTCCTCCCTGCGGATCCCACATCCCCAGCCTGGCTTTAAAATCAGCTTCCCAAGGGGAAACTACCAACCACCTCAGCCTTGCGATGAAAACACCCAGCGCGACCACAAGAACGATCTCGTTTCTCCCCTTTTCCACTCATTTTGTGACTCTCCCTGCTTCCCCAGCTTAAAGCAATCACTTCCTTGGGAAAGGGACGCTGTGCCAGACAAAGGAAACGGCGGCCGTATGGATTATGCACATAGTTACCACAAGAGTGTAGGGTGCCTCTTTCTTCTGGACTTCTTCCGTGGCGTTGGAAGTGGAAGCCTCTGCAGAGCTCGGACCTGTCGGTGACGTATCCACAAACGTTTCATCCACCACTCGGAAGCGGATCTCCTCCCCGATGTCCATGTAAAGGTCGTGGGCCCCTTCTTCCGTCTCATATTCCCACACCCACACCTGCTCTGCTTCATCGCTGGCCGGGCCGAGGGTTAAGGGGGGAAACAATCGATATTCGACCCGACAGATCGAAGCCTTGTCACGACCGTTTCTCACACCCTTCTACAGCACCATCTGTGCAGCCCAGGACCCCGTCTCATTGCGATTTTCCTGCTTCGAGGTCTCCGCTGCCAGGCAGAGCTGGGGTTACCCCCCCACCCCAAACCCAACACCAAAGACGCCCCAACAAGCAAACCCCCTAGAACCCCGCCCACCACAATTAAGCGCGCT